TCATAAACAGAATCCTTGGAATTATGCAGGAAAAATAATAATCATATTTTACATCTTTACTTTGATTATTTCCTGAAAAAAAAGAAATTTGGCAACCTAGATATTTGGATCCACTACATATAACTTACCTTAAAAAATAATGCCTCATTCTCGTCACAATTTCTGTCTCTATACTAGGCTGTTAAAGAATCTATCATAAATAATTGTGAAGTTCAATACCAATAACTCACAAATGGAAGTTAGGAAATTATTTTACTTGTATTCTTGTTTTCATTTTTGCTCAAACAGAACGGTTTACTGTTTTCTAGGAATAGATGTGCTACTAAAACTTCTGGCAGCTAAGATGATGATAACGGTAGGAAACGTCGAATCCGAAACACGTCATCCAAGAATGTGTATACTCGTGTATCTTCATGGGCCAGATCCAAATGAGTATGTGCTATTTTCTCTTCAAACTACATCTCAGGCATATGAGTGACTGCTCCATTTGTATCTTGAAAACATTAAGAAGTGCTTTAATCTCGTGTGGATATTACAACATAATGATAAATTATTAGACTATAATGTAACATAGGTGAGTATGTATGAATGTTACTAATCAAAATAAACGAAAACGTAGTATCAGGTCGGATAAAATAATTATTAGTTTCTGCTTTCTGTATAGTTGGATTTCATCTTTATTTCAAGAATTCCTAAAACACTCAACACAGAACGTGTTTACTGTGTATTTGAAAATAATTTTCCAGCCATGCCGCATACACATATTTTACGCCTGAATTTCTAACATCCGTCTAAAATTATAGTGTCAAGGGTTTTCATCTCTTTTGAGTAGATATCATACAGTTTTTTTTCATACGATCTTAGTGAAATATAGTAGAAGATTTTTTTAAGGTACAAAAGTTGAATTTTACCATGGTTTAAAACATATTATTTTCCTTACAACACTAGAAACTAGGTTTCGATACCACGCAGAGTACAGATAGTCCATTGTGTAGCCTTGTGCTTAATTCCAAACAAACAAACCTATGTGACATCCATATAACTTAATAGTTACTGGATGCTTATTTAAGTAACTCCATTAGTTCACAAAATTTATCTAATATTGTTAGTTTAGGTAGGTTTTATTTGTTTGTTTTGTTTAAGTGCAACTGACTATCTGCGCTGTGCTTACCACAAAGGTCAAACCCCGAATTCTATCGTTATAAGCCTTTAAGCTTACCAGTGAGTCAAAGAGTTATTTTTGGTACGAATTATTAAAGTGGACATTTTTTATACCAAATATCGACCAAATTCTGTTGTAAACAGTTACTACAAAAATGCTAAAAGGCTATTCAAAAGTATCTTCACGTTTTCTACTATCACACTCCAGTGAAAGCTTATTATATGTTTTTAAATAACATTTAGTAAAATCCGAGCACCAAAGGGTTTCAAGTCTTTCTTCTTGCACACACATATGTTGTTGTGTAACCAGTGGCGTAAGACGCGTGGGCCTTGCCCCCTACTTTTCAATCTGTCACAGTTAAAATGTATCAAAAAGAGAAAAATTACTCTCAGGAAAAATAGGAGAATGCATAAAATTTAATCAAGAACCCAACTGCTTCTAGGACTCTTAAGCGATCCATGGACCGCGGCCGTAATGGGTGCGCCTACGACGCACATTCCCTCGCTTCACTCGGTCAAATAAACCTTGAACCACCATCCACTTTTAATTTGCCTCTTACAGCTCTGATTAACCCAGTAAAATTCTGTTTCCTGATAATTATTTTCACTACTTTCAGCAGCGCTCGGCGAGAAAAATGGATGACTTGCATTTTTTTTCTGACAAAATGAAAAAGCTCTTATTGAAATCCAAAACTTAAAATAAACTACTCCAATTAGATTTATTGTTCGTGTACTTTTAGCAAGATGTTTTAGCCTTCAAATGTGTTACTAGTTACTACAGTATTGTAATTAGATTTATTAACTAATCCTTTAATAACTTCATTAACTTACTTAAAATGAAAGTGGTAAACGGAAAGAAATACATATTATATAATCTGTATTTCAGTCTGTTTACTTGTCGTAATTGATTTGTGTTTCGCAAAGCTACACGAGGGCTATCTGCGTTAGTCGTCCCTAATTTATCAGTGTAAGACTAGATGGAAGGCAGCTAGTCATCACCACCCACCGCCAACTCTTGGCTACTCTTTTGCCAACGAATAGTGGGATTGACCGTCACATTATAACGCCCCTACGGCTGAAAGGGCGAGCATGTTTGATGGGACGGGGACTCGAACCCGCGACCCACAGATTGCGAGTCGAGCACCTTAACCACCTGGCCATGCCAGGCCCTGTTTATTTGTCACCAGTGGGACAGCAGAAAGTTTACGGATTTACAACGGTGAATTCTGAGGGTTCGAATCTACGCAGTGGATACAGCAAATAGCCCAATGTAACCTTGCTGTAAAGCAAATAAACAAACCTTATACTGATAGGCGTACGGGGGATTTTTCATAGGAGCACTGTACAAGTTTTGCCCGAATGACGTTATGAGTAAAAAACTTCTGTTGCCAGTTTTTCCCGAAGGAAGGTAAACATTTCCCGAATCACCATATTTTCTGCTTCTAGTTTTGCCCGAATGGCTGTATGTATTGCAATCTAAGTGGGGTTACCGCCCCGCCCCCTCACCTCGTACGACTATGCATATATTTACCACTTTGCTGGATACTTTAAGTAAATTAATTAACGATATTACTGTAGCATTAGTGAATAAATATGATTGAATAAATTATTTTCAGATTTCGCTGAATATGAAATAAATGTATTCTGAAACATTCTAAGTTTGTGTAAATAAATGTCACTTACGGTGTACGAGAAAAATTTAAAAGGCTAGAAATATTTTTCTGAGAAGATGAGTTTCCTCTTAAAAGCATATAATCAGCTTTTTTGTGATTTCGGAATTCCTTGAACAAGCTTTTTTCATTCATGTGGAATTGTGCTTTCGATTAGAACATAATTTTGTCTATACGAACAACGTTTTATGTTTCTGTTTACCATATACCAAAATTACAGCTGAGAGAATGGAGTTGAAAATAGTTCAAGCAACTGTCGACAGTTTTGGTTTCTGCTCAATAAAAGTTTTTGTAATTGAGATTAAGGTTTATTTTTTAATGTTTTTTTTTCTTTTCAATTATACCGTTATCATTATTTTATTTGCTACTATGGTACTAAAATAGATATTAACTTATCAGTTTCATCCTTGAATCATTATTTTGCCAAATCTATCATTTAAATTATTTTGTCGCACATCATAATTTCTGTTTCTCAGCATGTGCTTAAGATACAGTAGAAAATTTTGCTTTAATTATTGGACTCTTCCAATCATTAAAATTTTGATTAGGTATTCAAAGTACATCACTCATGGAAATATTTCATGCACACATCACAAACAGTAAGTTTATCAACGACAGCTTGACATCTTGTACAATGATGTAAAGCTGTTTCAGAGAAAGCTACGCAAGGATGCCTAACAAAAAGGGGTATCATTATTATAACCTGTTTTTCAACTGTGTTTGTTTTTGTTGTTGTTCTTTGTTTTGAGGTAGAAATAAAAGACAATGTAACTTTTTCTGATAAATGTCTACTATATATAGATAATAGCATATTGAATTTCAAAGTCCAAAATAAAAGATAAAATCTTGAAGTTTGTAATTAAACTCAAGAATAAATATATCTTATGAAGCTACAATCGTCTTTGTTCAACATTCATATGAATGTACGAAAACAATTCGAGGTGTATCGAAAATGAACCAGGCCCATATTTAAATATGAGCTGTTTGTCATTATTTGCTTTAGTATAAAGGTCTATTTTGAATCTTGATTTCCATTACTTTTATTCATACATGATGTAAGGCATTTTATTTTCCCTAATAACTTTAACAGTGTTTGACGAGATGCTTCTGTTTTCGTGCAGGTCTGTCATTTCAGCTTGACTGATTAAATTTTGTTTTTAACATTTTATAGACCTTTTAATTTCAACTAACTTTCATATTAATTCTAAAAGAATTTACGCTATTCTAAAGAATTGTGAGCAATATATATTTATTAATATTATAGTAACATGTTTTGAAAATTAAGCATTTATTTTCCCACAAAGAAGTCCTAAAACTTGAACAGTTGTTTATTTCATTATTATCATTGTTATTCTTAGTTTCGTGTGTATGTATGATCTCACATCTACCATACTTACTGCATCTGATTTCTTTCCCTATTTTCTTTAACCATCATATCGCTGGGCGCTTACATGGTTGTTACTTATTTCATGTTAAATAATTTTTACCGTAATTTTCAGTTAAAAAATCTTACTTATGCCATTTTTCCCTATCTTCGGACCTACAATGCTAGAAACCGGGTTTCGATACCCGTGGTGGGCAGAGCAGAGATAGCCCATTGTGTAGCTTTGTGCTTAATTACAAACAAACATTTTCCCCAAATCAGGAATTTTTTTTCCTTACTACGCTATTTTCTATGGTATATCAGTGGCAAGCTTTAAGACTTATAAATTCAAAATTCGGAGCTCTATTCCTGCAGCGGAGACAGTGCAAATTGAGTAGTGATTCATTTAAACAAACACTACACTGTTCTGTTTTGATGTTATCATTCCCACTGTATGTATGCACACACGTTACACAGTTACTTTCAATCACTCGTGTGGATATACGTGTACATGTAATATATTTAATTATTTTTGTTTTTAAACTATGTTTAATTAAACGATAGGTTTGTTTCTTGAAATATTACTGTTCTCTTCCGCTTCAAAACCAGTACTTAAATTGCTTTTTTTATTAATTTATCTATTATTAATTTGTATACTCATATGCCCTCTAGTGAGATTATTTTCGATTGTATGAAATATATATTTTATTATGTATTGCAACATTACAATCTTAGAGTTACGTCACACTTGAGGCACCATGAATATTCACTAAAATTGAACATATTTTGTAACTAAATAGTATCATACTTTAAAGAACATATCCGGGCTTGCAGCTGTTTGCATAATTATCTATGCAACTACGTCAGTTGCTGGAGTTGAATAAGTTGGTCGCCATCTTTGTCAGTTAGTTTTTGAACGTTGAAGTTATCGTTTAGCATCTGAGAACATTTTAGATTAATAAACATTTAGTGTTAAGTAAGCGCACAGAAAGAGTGAAATTTATAAGGTGAGGTTGTTATTTCTTGTGTAAGTACGTTTTTATACAGATACTAACAAATGATAGGTAAAACTTAAGTTGTATTAAAAATATACATGAGTAACTTCCCAAGCTATAAACTTGGTTAAAACTTAAAATTTAAACAAAATTTATACTCGTATGTTATGGGTTAAGTTTTAGTTAGGTTACATTAATTTAAAAATTAAATCTATGCTTTTAAAGTCGTAGGTCAAGTCACAACTTACCATTAATACAGCTTAAAAATAAAATTAAAGAAAAAATCTCGCTAGCTTGCACTTTTATTTTTAACCCATGTGTGCAAACAGCAAATGTATTTGTGTGATACTAATACATCTTTCAAATGTAAGTTGCAATGTGTTACTGTTAGTATACGGCGAAATTCTCGAAATTGTTTTCAATAATTGATTCTCTGCTACAGAAAAGCTAAAAACGTATAAATAAAATCATTTTACTAACGTATTCAATGTCACTGATTCAGAAATTATTTAATCTCGTTAAGTTGTCGTTTTGCATTAATCCAAATAATTGTTATAACTTGTATTTTACAATACATTATTTATAAGTCTCAAAAGTATTATATTCCTTTTATAGGATTTAGGTTTATCACATGTTGCTATGTTAGGAAGTATACTATCTTAAAAAAATCTAAAAAATGTTTTATTTCCATTATATTTTGGTGTGATATTGACAATGAATGAATGATAGGAATTTTTGGTTTAACTTTAAGTGTAAGTTATAGGTTCTGTTTAGAAAGTTCCATAGAATGAAAAGAAGAAAACATTATGTGTTAGTGATCTAATGCATTATAATGTCCCATTATTAGCCAAAATTTACTAAAAAATTGGTTGTTTCAATACTTGTATAAATACTATCATGCATCAATTGGCTTTAGAACTGAAAGAAAAGATAAGCAGAGGTTCATGTATGTGCATATGCATTCCATATGTGCCTTTTTAAAATGTTAACAATGATAATCAGTAACTTGCACTAGTTGAAACTGATCTGAACAAGTATTCCCTCAATATTTAATCAAATGGCCAGCTTGTACTTAACTGGTCTAATCATTACAATTATAAAACTTGTATGTACTACCTACCTAAATTATGTCATGAAATGACCAGTATATATTAACTGATAAGTAATTTTATACCAGTTGAATGTGAGTTACAGTGAAAAAGCTCAATGTTTATTGATCATCCTCACTTGAGTAATTAGTTTCCCAAAATGCCTAGAATACACCAGAGGGCAAGTAAACCCCTTGGTTGTTATGGGTTGGGACCCTAGACCTGCTAAAAGTTTCATTTGCTGTTCTCATCCATGCTAATAATTAACAATAAATAATGAAAATAGAAATGAATATTTGTACAATATTGCACTGAAATGTCCCTGCCTTTGACTGCTATCATGTTAGTGTAAATGAATAATATTAATAGTGTTATTTGATCAGTGTTTAATTTTTAACTATTGTTGATTTAGACAATTAGGCATGTGTTTTGGTAATGTGATTTAAACATGTTTACATTGATATTTATATCTGAAATGTCATTGAAAACAATTTTAAAAGGGGGAATTAGTGTTAGTATTTTAAATATCAGACCTGACAAGTACTCTTATGTTTTAAGGCTACTAATCCTGCCACAAGATAAAGGTAATGTAACATAAGGCTAACAATTTTAAGGCTGTTCTTGCACACCTACATTTGAGAAATGTAAAAATTTAAATCTACCATTTATTTTTCAGAAAATAGGTTCCACTTTTGAAATCGTAAAATTACATCCTCCACTCCTGCTAGTATTTAATGATTACAAGATGGATGGGTAATTAAGTTCAGTTTTTAATAACAAAGATTTAAGCAATATTCCACATCTTAAACAGTTGATAAATGGAAATGAGATCAAACAAGATGACTGCATTAATTCTGAGCTGGTTAAGAAAATATTGGGAGGTTTAAAAAATGAAAAGGCTCTGAACCAGAAAATATTTCCCCAAGGGTTTTGAAGGAGGTTAAAGCTTGGATATGTGAGCCAATTACTACTATTTTTTGTCAATCCTTGAATAATGGGAGGATTGGAATGGAAGTTAGCTAATGTATAGCAGAGATTGCTGGTGTGGGTATTAAAAACTTTAATTAAAATAAAGTACAAGAACAATGTTTCAACCTTCTCAGATCATCTTGTGTAGATGAGGGTAAGGGTGCAGATTTTGTATCTCTGGATTTTCAGAAAGCATTTGATAACGTGCCACATAAAAGGCTTGTTAAAAATTATCTATAGGTGTGTGGGATAAGTTAGAAAGTTGGATAGAAGAGTGGCTGGATGGAAGAAAACAGAGGGTTGTTACAAATGGAGTTCAGTCGCAATTGGGGTACCTTGGGGTTCAGTCTTAGGACCTTAGCTCTTTTTGAGTTACATCAATGACATAGATGAAGGAATGGTCAATAAAATACTTCAATTTGCAGATGATATTAAGGTCCTGGGTAATAATGGGTTCCTCATCA